ACTCTATTATCCATTATATTAGATTTCCAATCCCCCCTTCCCTTCTTGATTATAGTTGATGATTAGAAAAATGCATTGAAATTATGTTGTTGCTTACCGATAAGAAAATCACTTATAAGGGTAAGTTTATTAAACTTTACCTAAAATAATAAATAATTGAGTATTTTCGGGCATTCCAAAGAGAGGTCTCAAGTTCAAACATTGTGAGTTCAATCGATCTTTGACCAACATAAATATACAATGCAGTTGTAAAAATGAGTGTTTAGTATCATTATCAAAAGTGAACCACCTCCCTCAAACCTTACAAAATTAGGAGTTACCATAAGTGATGGAAAACCCATTTTTATATAATAATATGTATTTTTGGAAATGATTTTTTTTTTTTGAATAAATTATATAAGATTCATGGTAAAATGTGTAAAAAAAAAAATTTATGGTAAAATTTGTACAAAAAAAAATTAATAGTATATAATGTGTACAAAAAAGTTTAATTGTATAATATATACATAATAAACAGTAAAATTCACCTCAGACACGTGGCTTGCCACGTGGCTGGTGACCTACTATTACCGGTAATGTAATGGTATTTTTGAAGAAATATGAAGTTTAATGGTCATACGTATACAAACGTTATAGTTAGTTGAATGGTACTTTTTTAATACTTGGTTACAGCATTAATTTCACTTATTAAAAATTAATACTTTTTGCTCTGCGCTGTTTGGGTTTTGATTTAAGGGACAATAACAGGGCCTAGTGATGGTAGCCAGCAACTAACTGACCTTTCCGAGAAACGATTATAATATAAGATTTCTGATTAAACAAATATTTATTAAACCGGGAATCATGGATCTGTATTTGAATCTTCTAATACAGTCCAAAATATGGTCGAATTTTCGCTTCTTAAATTAATATTTAAAAGATGACGATTATCATATCTATCATTCAAAAGATATGTAAGCGAGAAGCAAGGCTTCACATGTGACTACAATAATGCAAATGGATGGCAGTAATGTATATTTCAGCATTAATTAATTGGCTAAACTTGAGAATATTATAAATAAATAAAACTACTATTTTAATAAATTACTTTGACGAATAACTGGGGCTTAAATGCAGCCATCGAATTGTATATATTATCGTACGATAGTCATATTTATCAATCGCAAAAATGGCACAACTTAACAATTACCATGGATCACGGTGGTGGGAAGTGATGAACAACAACAAAGACGAGCTTACTCTTGCCATTTCAGCAATGATTTTGATTGCTTTGTGGTACAGATGGACATCTTCAAGCTCCTCCAATGGTGGACCACCATTGCCACCAGGTCCCCGTTCATTGCCAATTGTTGGCCACCTTCCATTTCTTGGTCGAGACCTGCACAAACAGTTCCTTAACATGGCGCACAGTTATGGTCCCGTTTTCAAGTTCTATCTGGGGAGCAAACTTCATGTGGTGATAAGCACACCTGAGCTAGCAAAGGTGGTGGTTCGTGACAAAGACGAGATCTTTGCTAACCGCAATTCAACAATCGCAGCCTTAACAATCACTTACGGGGGCCAAGATATAGCATTCTCTGACAACAACTCGGATTGGCGTAACCTTCGCAAGATATTTGTCCATGAGGTCCTTAGCAACAAGAATCTTGAAGCATCTAGTTGTTTCCGAAGAGATGAAGTTAGAAAAACTATCAAGAATGTTTATACTAAAATCGGAACGTCAATCAACATTAGCGAGATTGCTTTCTTGACAGAGGCCAACGTCCTAAAGAGCATGGTTTGGGGAAACACTTCAGCTCAAAAACCAAACGGTAGCCATTTTGGAGCAGAGATGCAGATTGTTTCTGCGAATATTGTTGAGCTCATGGGACAGCTGAATGTCTCTGATATCTTCCCTAGTCTTGCATGGCTTGATCTACAAGGCGTGGAGCGGAATATGAAGGAGCAACTTCGTCTGTTGGATCAAATTTTCACAACGATTATTGACGATCGAATCGAATCTAACTCTAAAAAATCGAAGCATGCAATTGGGAATGAAGGAAAGAAAGATCTTCTACAAGTGTTATTGGAGCTCATGGATCAAAACGATGGAATATCAATTAACCGGACTCAAATAAAAGCACTCATCCAGGTAATCTGTATTCAGTAGTCTTTAATTTTAATTATGTCGAAAGTCAGAGATGATATTCTTTCCAAATATCGATCATTCAGAGATAGATCCAGCAACATGAAAAAGAACACGTGCGAGTCAACCCTTTTTTCTTTACAACGATAGGCAAAATGTCATGATGAATATGGATAAACATTTGTTGTATCAGGACATTATGGTTGCAGGAACAGAAACAACGACAACGCTGATAGAGTGGGCAATGGCAGAGATCATGCAAAATGATGACATAATGAAAAAGGTTCAACAAGAATTAGAAGAAATCGTAGGACTTGACAACATTGTCGAAGAATCTCATCTCCCCAAACTACAATACCTAGATGCAGCTATTAAACAAACATTTCGGTTGCACAAAGTAGTCCCTCTCGTACTCCCAAGGTCGCCAAGCCAGGATTGTATTGTAGGAGGATACACCATTCCAAAGGGTTGTACAGTGTTTCTGAATGTTTGGGCAATCCATCGGGATCCTCGATATTGGGAGAATCCGTTAAAATTCAATCCAGAGAGATTCTTGACAAACAAATGTGATTTCAATGGAAGCAATTTAAACTTCTTCCCATTTGGATAAGGGAGAAGATCATGTCCTGGTATTCCATTGGCCGAGAAAATGCAAATGTATATCTTGGCTTCGCTATTGCACTCATTTGACTGGAGTTTGCCGGAGGGTGAAGAGCATGACCTTTCCGAAAATTTTAGCCTTACACTAAAGAAAAGAAAACCACTCATCGCTATACCATCACAAAGGTTGTCTAACGTAAGCCTCTATATGTAAGCTCTTTGTTATGTTGATGGAATGCACTGTACCAATTTCTAGTTTCAACTTTTATTGGGTGTATGAGTAGTGAATAACTTTCTAGTTTCAACTTTTATTGGGTGTATGAGTAGTGAATAACTGTCGTTCTCTGGTTATGGTTATTATATGAGTTAATTTTAAATTAGTTAAATGTAAAGGTTAAAATATTTGAGAATTTTGAATTTTTAAAAAAATAAGAAAAATAATAAATTATTATAATTGAAAGGTTCTTTATCTTTTAACTTTAACTAGATAATTTAAATAAATAAACAAAAAAACTAATAAACTTTAATTTGGAAAATTTGAAATTAAAAAAGTAAGTTCATTAATGAAATGGATATCCATTTATTATTATATTTATTGCAATCATTATATTAAAATATTATTTGAATTTAATAAAATATAAGAAATCATAAAATGGCATGTGAAAAAATAATTAATTCAAAATAATCACAAAATTACATTTGACAATTTGAATCCGAATTTGACATGTGACAAAAAAAACTTTCATTTATTAGAGTAGATAAAACTTACAACTCTTTTATGTGTGTCATAACTCATAATACATATTTCATGTAGATTACACTACTAATAAAAAAACCGAGTCAAATAAATACCCGACAAAATTTCCGTTTTAAGGAATATAATAAATCGGATTTGTTTGTGGTATATCACAAAATTTTTGGGTTATAAGACCCGAATCCAAAATTGGCAACCTCTTTTTGTTGGTGTCAGTGGTCCCTGGGTGTGTAAGTGGTGCGGTCCTACAAAGCTTTCAATTTTAAGGGGCCTCTAAATTTAGAGACAATACATAGCTTTCAATTTTAAGGGGCCTCTAAATTTAGAGACAATACATAGCTTTCAATTTTAAGGGGCCTCTAAATTTAGAGACAATACATAGTACTGGTCTTAGAGTTTTTATAAAATGCATTTTAATGTGTTGTTATTTAAGATTATAGAATGCATTTTTAATGTGTTGTTATTTAAGAATATTAATATTTAGCTATATCCATAATGTAAATTTTGGTTGCAATCATAAAGTAACGTTAATTATGAAAAAAAAAAATCAACGAAAAAAAAAATCTTATCATAATTTCTATAATTTATAAACAATTTAAGGAAAAAATATATATATAAAAATATATGTTTCTAATATAAGTTCAATCAAACATTATAGTTTTTATAAAACTCACTAAAAAATAAAACCCTAACAATGTTAATAACGGTGTCAGTAGATCGTCGATGTTGCTTGTCTCTTTCATTGGAAACAACCGTTTTTTGTCTTGAATCTTGATATCTCGTTGGGTTTGTGGTAGTCGTCTTGTTCTCCTCCAAGTCCTTCGATTGACTTCGTAACTAAAAGTTAGTATCTTTTATCTTTTTATAATCTCCTAAATCTCAATCGTGCTTAACTTCTTTCTCTCCTCAAATAAATGTTCATTTTCATTTGAATAATTTCTTTATGAACTCATAATGAAGTAGAGAAAGAAAAAAAATAATGTTCTTGGTTTGTAGATTTAGCTTTTCAATGTTTTGGTATAAAGGGGTCATATAATATAGTGTCTGATGAATTGTGTCACTCTATCACTATGATTTATAGCTTTAGCTTTTCGATGTTTGGAATAGAGGGTGCATTAGTAGATTTTATGGTAGAGGCGGGGGAGGGGGATAATGGGCTTCCCATTTTTTGGCTTCTAGTATTAATATAATATAGTCTAATACTTGCAAATGTTAGAAAATAAGATTTTTTATGCTTTAACTTTTTTTTCATTAATTTTTTGATAAATATTACAAATATATATTGTCAAGTTACTAACATTGATTTTTTTTTTTTTGAAAAAAAAGATGGCTCTGTCTAGAAAGTTTGAACTGTGTTGTTCTAAATATAAAAGAAAATGAAAATAATAACAATTTATTATATAGTTAAAGATGATATATCAATTAATTCATCGTCAAACAAATACTTGAATACCCTCATAATTAAGAATCAATTGTAAAAGAACATAAAGAATAAGAAGTTGAATTACGTGTACTAGAAACATGGATGAAGCTCATGAAGATGTGAAAAAAATTGGAGAAGAAGCTCATGATGTTGTGGAAGAACCTAAAGAAGAAGAAGTTGAACTACAAGTGCCAGAAGATATGTCTTGTATAGATGAAGACATAGCCACCTTGAATGGTAATGATGATGACAAAGAAGATATTCCAGTGAACATATATGATTATAGAACTAGAACATCTAATGAGTTAAAATATGATGTCGTTGTAATGAATTTACGATCGAGATGTTTGTTAGAAACTTTGAGTTTCGAATTTAGTGCTAGAAAATTTACTTAATAATATTTTATATATTTTTTAAGGGCCCTTACTTTGATTTTTGCACAAGGCCTCAGACATGTCAGGGTCGGGCCTGGTTGGTGTGCATTTTGAGGGGTTATAGTGGTATATGTCATAGTTTCATTTTCACACCTAGATCTTTTGAACCCGCATGTTTGAACGTCTTCCGGTTGCGATACAACAACTGGACTCCTTGATAATCACATGTGTTTCTAATTTCAACCTTTATTGTGTATATGAGTCACTACTAGAAAATGGCAAATAAATAACACGATATATGATAATGTATCAATAAATTTCATATTCCATAGGGCACGATTGTTTTTTGACATATATTTAATACGATTTCAAATTAATAACGGTAATTGACTAGGAATTTATTATTTTTAAGATACGTTGAATTTGTTTCCACTTATCTAGCCACTCTCTGTTTTATTGTAAAAGGAGGTTACTAATTTTTCCCGCCTAATGAACGGTTGATATCACGAATTTTTGGTGAAACAGCTTCATCAATCTTAGCCCTAAGGCACCACATATAACAACTCTCGATCTTTTGGTGAAAAGTTATGTGGTACCTACAATTGAAACCCCAGCACCACAGCCACAACTTCAGAGCACCACCACCCTCTAACATTGATTTGCCAACATTGCTCACATCCAATACGTGTGTTACACTTTTATTTCCATACGTCATATATTTCGGTAAATAAATATCTTCTCATTTCGTATTAATAGGTTGATGTTTGTTAATCTCCTGCATCGTCAAAATTCCTTATATGATTCTTCATTCTTTATTCTTTCATCAACACCAAACCCACCTAATGCATGAGCATCATCTCTGATTCGCACATTTTTGGTGATGGAAAACAATCAGCTAACCACACGATGAGAGCTTCCAAAAACATTGTACGAATATATAAGTCAAGTAAAATTAAATGTACACTTTGAGTAATCATCTAATTACACATGTAACTAACTACTTGGTAAACTATAAGGACAATCTAGTTTTGACTTTGGCTAGTCAAAACCATGTGGCCCTTAGCTCATGCCATATATTGTGTGTTGGTCTTTGTTCTTGCACTCCATGTTTGTAAGAAACACCATACATTCCTTTATGACTCTCATTGACTCAAGTATATATGTCTTAGTATATAAAGAAGAGAGAGTGACAAAAAGTAGCTAGTTTTTTTACTTATTCTTTTCTTCATTTTATCCCATAAACTGTGAACTCTTGGAGCTCTCTTCTTTCTCCATCTCTTGCAATTACATGCATGTTTGGAATGATTAAGTGGCTTCTAGTTTTAAGGTTTATTTGGTATAAATTTTAATGATTAAGGATAACTTAATACAAGTGAAAACCAACATGTTTTAGTGGTTTACTCTTGATTGGTGTATACCTCTAGGGAACTTCTATTTTGGAGCTTCGTGTCTCACTTCATCAACTTCCATTTCCCTTGAGGATCAAAGACTTCAAAGGTTGTAATCTTTTCTTTTCTATGCTTGTTTTAATCTTTCCATGCTTTGCAAAATGATTCATGGTGTGTTAATCACTTTAATCGCTTCCTTGCCGAGTCCCATGAATCAATCTAGTACCATCTTGAACAAGGCCCTCTAGTCCTCAAAATCAATCATCTTGCATATTTTTGCACCATTTGGACCCAAACCACCATGGTCACTTAGGCCTAACCAACTACCATAATCATTCTCTAACGTTAATCATACAATCGATAGGGATGGAAACATGCTACAAAAACCATAGTGCCATAACATACTATCTACCATCTACTAAGTCGTTAGTAACTTCTTCGACCCTTCCTGATCCCCGTACAGATCTTGTGCTTGCAGTAGTGTGGGCCCATACCACCTTCCACACATATCCGTACCCATCCCAAGAATTGTCTCAAAGTTCCCAAGTCACTACTCACTACCATTACTAAATATTCTAACACCATATACACATGCTTACATGAGCACACATTACTACTATTCCTAAACTTTCCTTCTAAGATTCTTCTCATGCATATGACCACGCTAGCATTATTCTAACACTTTTCCTAGGTTACTAGGAATCCCACCTCACCCTGCTGTCTCATTAGGAAAGAAACTTTTATCAGTAAGAAATAACTATGTTATCTTGTTCGGAAAAAAAACTTTTATCAATAAGAACTAATTATCATACAAATACTAACTACATCCAACTAGAATTAGGCAGTCATTCGACTGAGAGATCATGCACCACAATGGTTGGACTCAAACAAGAGTTATGCATTAAGGCTAAACCAAGCAATCTGAAACTATCTAATTTTAGGGAATGCAATCATAACATATTCACATAACAGTTAACTAATATTGATATAGGTTTCAAGCAACACAAAGCAATCAACAATAAAGCATTTAACCTTCAATTAGCACATAGCAAGCAATTCCTACGCTAAACGGCATCTTAAATATCAGAAAATTCTAGCATGCAATTCCTGAAAGATCCTTAGCCTACTTACTAGCATGCATTTCTAGTAGTTCGCATATCAACATATATATATATATATATATATATATATATATATATATCTATATATATATATATATATATATATCTATATATATATATATATATATATATAACAAGTATGGATATTTTGGGAACCAATTTCTTGTTCGAGCTCCGGCTGACTTAACACATCACATCACCTTTCTCCTCTTGACAAAATTCAATTCAAAAAGGTTTGTGAAAGTTCTCAGATCCTTATTTTGAGTTTGGAAGCACATAGATGTTCATCCAAATCCCTCAAACAAAGGCTATGATACCAACTTGTAACATCCCATTTTTCAAACAAAAAATTTCATTTTTAAAATTAATATAAGCACCAATGTTCATAGAATAGTAATCAATGTAAGAACATTTGTTTAATAAACCCAAATCCATAATTAGAGTTATCAAGAAATGCATCACGAAATCTAGAAGTATAAAATTTTCGATGTGTGTGTATAGTTACGACTTCGCCTTCTCACAATCCGATGAGTACCTCAAACACATGTAATTCAAAACTGTAAGAACAAAGCTTATTAAGTTCTCCAAAACACCACATATAACACATAACAATGGGCCCCGTCCTAAGGGTATATTACAACCCATGTGAATGTTATGGTCCACCCATAGTCTTAAAATTACTTCCGTTGCTACAATCCTACTACAGTCTTTCCTGCTATGGTCCACCCATAATCTTTCACACAATTACTATAGTCCCCCATAGTCTTTTATAAAAATGACATGGTTCCCCCATAATCTTCCATATAAGTCATAAAGACAAGTAAACATATCATGACACACAGTATCCTACATAATATAGTGAAAAGACTCACATGAATCCTAGAGTTGAATCTGATTACTTGAAGTCTCAAAGAATCAGATACATGAACCGTCTAAACCAATCACAGACTGAACCTCATCCTATAGTTCAAACCCTCCAAGTTTGATCCTAAAAGTCAGACCGGTCAAAAACTCAATAATCAATGCCAGCACGTCTTGATCGTTGACCGTCCATCCCGTGATCCACTAAATGATAGAATAGTTAAAAACATTCCACAATCTCATTGTAACCCTAAACAAGGTTTGCCACTAAATCTAGCTAAGCAATCTTCCTCATTAAGGACTTAATCCTTTAAGTCCAAAAGCTTAAAACTTTAGATCTGTTTCTCTTAAGGGTCTTAATGGATAAAGTTTTTCCAACTTTATCCATAAGAAAAGCTAAATCACTCAATAAACGAATCCATAAGTCCAAAAGTATCCAAAACACACTTATCTTCATGAATTAAGCAAAGAGGGCTCTTGCCTGCACTGTTATTCCATTATGTGATCAGTTCTAGAACCAAAGATAAATCAAAAGCTTAAGAGCGCTCCAAACTCAGTAGAACAAGCCACAAAGGAACCAAAACTCATAAAAATGGACTAAAAACCCAACAACTCATAGATCTATAGAAGAAAAGAGATAGAGCTTAGATCTTTGAAGTTACAAAGGTCCAGAAGGAGTAGAAAAGGCTGAATACTTCAAGTACTAAGCTCAAAAGACCAATCTTTCTTATTTCCTTTGCTTAAAAACACAAAACTACACCAAAAGTGGATTTATGAGAGAGGATGAGCTCCAATGCTTCGAGAGAGGCTAGGGTTTCATTAGATGTGCTAAAGGAGGTGGTGGAGGCTACAAATGTTGAAACCCTAGGTTTAATACCCTTAAATATTCCCAAATCCCAAGGCCTAAGGCCTAAGCCTGATCTAGTGAGGCCTAATTCAGCTTAAGCCCAAACTATTTCCAACCCATAACATGACATTTAAGTCTTAAGCCTTACACTCTTACCCCAAAACCTTATTCCCTTAAGGTCCAAATTTCATCACTTAAAGTCTGAGACCTTTAGATGATAAATTTAAAATCCGACTTTCCAATTAAAGAAACATCGTGAAACTGGATGTTACGCAATAGACCATCCTAATCAGCACCAAATAGGGTAAGGGTGCTCTGTTGTATTAGGTGAAACCAGATAAAAGGAAAATATGAACAAAACTGAACAAATATTAGGCATTAACGTATTAAAAATCATCACAATGACAAAATCGACAAAACTTGACAAACTTAAGGATTTTTATGTCAATAGTCCTCTATTCCAAATGTCGCCCTATTGTTGATAATAGACATACCAATCTAGTGGGAAGAATATTTTTTCTAAGCTTTGGTTCAAATGAAAGAAATTACACTTTACATACAAGTTAGGTCTTAAATGACTACATTCAGACCAACATGGTTGTTTCAATAAAATCCTAAAATCATTGTTTAGCCTATAATGCAAAAAGGTTTTCATTTTGTAGTTATCCCTCTTTTATAATGGTCTAAGCTAGAAAAAGCAAAGTTGCAAAAAAGTAAAACCTTAACCCTAGGAGTGTCCATTACAATAAAATTCTAATTTAGAGCGAACAAGTAAATTTCATCAAACCACATGGGCCTCTTTTG